ACCTTAGGGCCGGGCGGAGCCTGATGACGAGGAGACTGTTGGCCTGCAGGGCCTCCACGGGGCGGGATCCCTTGCCCGGGCGATATGGGGGCGTGGCGTGAGCGCCCGGGCAGGATCCCGAGCCGGAAGCGGACGGAACTCGGGGTCCGCAATCGGCCGGCCATGGACGAAGCGGACCGGCAGCTCCTGCGGCGATGTCGGGTGCGCCTGGTGAGCGAGCTGCAGGTCGCCGAGCTCTGGGACGCTCTGCTGAGTCGAGAGCTCTTCTCGGGGGACATGATCGAGGACATCCAGGTGCGCCCCGCCCCCACGCGTCCCCAGGTTTTCCCGCGGCGCAGGTGGGGACGGGGAGTCTGAGCTTTTAAAAGCCCTCCTCTCCCCTTCTTGCACCAAGCACAACCCACGCCCTGGGAAACCATGCGTGGGAACTCCCAGTTTCAGAGCCTTCCAGAATTCAGCCTCCTTAACCCTCCAGATTCTTATATATAGCGTCCGGAGGAATTAGTAGAAAACCCCCAAGCATCTCTTTTCCAGAGTGTTTGCTAAAGCGACTGTAACCTGCACCATGTTGGTACTTATGTATTTTCCCTGCTCAAGTGTAAGGATCCTAGGCACCCACCTTAGCCTTGCACTGGCTCATTGTGCCAGTCACTTGCCCTCTTTGAGCCTCAGTTGCCTGGGCTGTGAAATGAAACAGTGATCTCTCTGTCCAGGCTAGTGATCTAGGAGATGTTACGCGCTTCTGTGCCTGACACAGCACAGGACGCAGCACACCCTGTTTTTTTTGGTCGGGCCTTTATGTATCAAGTGAATGCGTTATAACGGATCTTAGGGGGAAAGGGGCGTGGTTATTGTAGTTTACACAGAAGAATAAAATCAAACATTTGCTCTTTAATAAAAATACACTTGAGAGGCAGGCAGATCTCTGAGTTCAGACCAGCCTGGTCTACAGAGGGAGTTTCAGGACAGCAAAGACTGCACAGAGAAACCCTGTCTCACACACACACACAAAAATACACTGTAGCATTTTTATCCCATTTGACCTTCACCACAGGTCTGAAAGGGGAATATTTCTTCCTGAGAGGCTGCCTAGACGGCTGTCTCCAGCATCTGTATTATCATCCAGGAACCTGATCTGGTCCAGTGAAGGAGAAATAGAAGAAAGTGGTCCAGAGTCATGTTATAACTACCAATCAATAATAAAATCAGCCGGTGGTGGCACACCCCCTTTAGTCCAAACACAGGGGATGCAGAGGCAGGCAGATCTCTGTGAGTTTGAGGCCAGCCTGGTCTAAATTAAAAAAAAAAAAACAGTCTTAGGAACAACACTTAATGAAGGGAAGTAGTGTGAAGGGAAAGTCCTAGCCTTGAAGGCACATTAAGAGGGACCATATGCTGAACTTCCCATGAGGTACTATCAGCTTCTTGTCTTACTCCCTTCTCCAGCTAAGTGTGTGGTCAGAGCAGTATCCTGGCCTGGTGTTAGCTGTGGTGGACTGAAAGGAAAGGCTGGTTCTAGGGGTAGTGACACACACCTTTTATCCCACACTCAGGAGGAAGAGGCCATCCTTGGCTACATATGGAGCTTGAGACCAGCCTGGCTAAATGAGACCCAGTCTTCTGAAACCAAAATCAAGGACTGCAAATCTGCCTCAGTGGTTAAGATCATTTTTTCAGAGGACATAGGTTCAGTTTTCAGTACCCACAGTCAATTCACAACTGTCTGTGACTGCAGCTCCTGGGTATCTGACACCCTCTTCTAGCTTCAGGAAGATCAGAACTTCAAGGTCATCCTTGGCTATGTAGGAAGTTGAAAGCCAGTCTTGATTACTTAAGAACTTTCCCGTCCCCCAAACCTAGCTGAAAGCTTCCTATCCCCAAACAAAACAAAACAACCTCTTTCCTTCAAAAAGGCGATGCTGGGAATCTTGTTTTCTGTATAAGTTTCTTCACTTACTTAAATGTTAGTAACAAATTTAGAAAATTTGGGGGCTGGAGAGATGGGTCAGCATTTAAGAGCACTGGCTGCTCTTCCAGAGGACCCAGGGTCAATACCTAGCACCCACATGGCAGCTCACAAATGTCTGTAACTCCAGTTCCAAGGGACCTGACACCCTCAAACAGACATATATGCAGGCAAAACTTCAATGCACATGAAATAAATAATTTATAAAATTTAGAAACCTTTAAGTACCCATGCAAACTGCTGGCCACCATTTTGCTCCTTTTCTTAGGACTAATTAGCACTTAGCACAGTGCTGGACACACAGTAGGTGTCTCTGATGGACTGCAATAGACAGACAAGCAGAGGCTACAGACGGTCCTGCATTCAGTGCACTGCTGGATGAGTTTCTGCCCACCTGCCACAGGCTTATGCTAGAGGAAAAGTGGGAGACAGGGTGAGAGCCAGCAAATGTCCCTGGATAATGAGTGTCTGGTTTTTCTATCCAAACAGAGGGCAGGCTCTGGGTCTCGGCGGGATCAAGCCAGGCAGCTGGTCACAGATCTTGAGACCCGAGGGAAGCAGGCCCTTCCTCTCTTCATCTCCTGCTTAGAGGACACAGGCCAAGACACCCTGGCTTCATTCTTGCGAAGTAGTCGGCAAGCAGCCAAGCAGGATCCAGAGGCTGCTAAACCCCTGGACCACCTGGTGCCTGTGGTCCTGGGACCAATGGGAATCGTATCAAAGGAGCAGAAAGTAGTGAAGTTGGAGCCATCGAAGCCTGCCCTGGGAAACCTCACCCCAGTGGTGCTGGGGCCGGAAGGGGTCTGGCCTGCTACGCTCAGACCAGAGGTTCTCAGACCAGAAACACCCAGGCCAGTGGACATCAGTTCTGGTGGTACCTATGATGTCTGTGAGTATTGAGAAAATGGTTGGTGGGTAGGTGCGATGTAGTTATTGGGGTGTGAGTCTGGGTACAAATTGGTGGGTTGAGATTCAGAATTTAATTCTAGTGTTTGTCTTAGTGAATGTTATAGGAGATGAGTGGAATATTCCAACCAGTCTATAGGAGATGTCATTTTGACAGCCCATCCGAAAAGCAAGATTTTGGATGTTCCTTGTTTTTCTGAGTGTTTTCAGAAGAACTAGTGAGACCTGCCATTGTGGAATGTCTGATGGCTTATGTTCGTGCATTCTGGGACTATCTCTAGGATTGAAGGAAATATTTGATATCAGCGTACATGATAATAGATGTCTTCTACCAGTACCTCCACTTTTGGAAAGCTATTTACGAGGATGCTTGGATAAACTCTCGTCTCCAGTACTGACTGAGAGCCCTCCTGAGATGACAAGATGTCTCTATCTTATCTTTAACACCATTGGGTAGCTAGGGCTTCCTGATCCACACTCCCCAACTCAGGGTCAGACCTGGGGCTGTTCGACTGGTTCTGATCGCAGCCCCAAAGACATCAGTCCAGAATAAATGGCCTCTGTAGTGTGGGGCTGATACAGGCTGGACCCCAGCAACCATCAGAGTCTAGAAGAGGGCATAAAATTCCCTGGTGTTGTCATTACAGATTAGTCAGGGCAGGAATACAAGGCATGAACTTGGAGAAGAAGCTTGTGCTGATGTATTCATCAATATATATATACATATACATATACATGAGTTTTTGCCTGCATGTATGTACACTACATGCATGCCTGGTGCTCACAGAGTGCCAGATCCCTTGGAACTGGAGTTAAGGATGAATGTGAACTTCTGTGTTTACTGGGACTTGAACCTGGATCCTCTGCAGGAGCAGCCAGCCATTGTTTTTATCTGCTGAGCCATCTCTCCACCCTTCACCCCCACCTCCTTTACTGCTCTCTGCTATGGAGTTCATAGGAATGGAATCATGTGGTCTGTACTTCAGTGCTGGCTTGTTTGTTTGTACATAGCTCGTGCTCTCTCTGGTTACCCGGGGCATTGTGTGCATCATTGGTTGACTTCTCTTTAGGACGTCTCCCAGAGTGGCCTAATCACAGTTTGAGGCTTTTGAGAAAGACTTTAGTTAACGGTTTGGACAGCTCTTTTCAAGGGGGGAAGTGTGTTTAATGTTGTTGGCAACTTGTAGACACCCCTGGATGCTGGCTGTGTCGATGACTCTCCTAGTCCTGCTGTGGGAACTGTCTAACAGCTCCTTGGCCTTTGCCCACTGAACCCCAACACCTCTCTTCTTCCTCTGTCTTTGCAGGTGCTGCAGAGAAGATCAGGAGTAGTGCAGATATGGTGAGTCATTGTGTGATTAGAGTTTGTCTTTTCCCCACGCCTTTCCCTGTGACCGAACTAGGAGCTGAGGAACCCTGCCTGGCCGGGGAAGTCTGGTTACAGTCACCACTCTTCATGGCTTCTGACCCTAGCTGGAGCACCTTGTCCCACCCATCCTGCTCTTCTGTTCCTGTAAAATAAGAGTTCAAACCTAAAGAAGGGCTACATCCTCTGTGGTGCCCATACAGGGCAAGCCACTCATGCTGTCCTTGCAATCTAAATACTCCATGGCTCCCCTGTATTTCTCCATGTTGGGGACAAGACCACTTAACCTGCAGGGGCCTGTGCTGGGGAGAGGAATATTCAAATAGAGTGATCAGACCCATGGACAGGCCATGGAAGAAGAAGTTCAAGGGTCTGAGCCTGGGGAGAAAGCTGTTTCAAGGAGATCAGTGGGTGGGCCCTGACCTGAGACTGCTGTGATAGAGCCTACCATTTACCCCGTAGTTGAGCCTAGGGCCAGTGCCACCAATTTGCATGGTGTTTAAAGTCCGTTTAGCATGAATGTGTCAGGTTTGGTTGGGTTCTTTTTGTTGTTGTTGTTTTTAAGGAATTATTATTTTATGTGTATGGGTGTCCCACCTACATGTATGTCTCTGTAGCACATGTGTGCAGTACACACAGATGCTAGAAGAGGGTGTCAGATCCCCTGGAACTGGAGTTACAGACAGCTGTGACCTATCATGTAGCATTGGGAATTGAACCCCAGTCCTCTATAAGAGCAGCCAGTGCTCTTAACTGATCAGCCATCACTCCAGCCACCCCCCCCCATTTTTGTATTTTTGAGACAAGGATTTATTATTTATCCCAACTCAATATAAAGACCCAAGTTCACTTTGAACGTGTGTCGATCTTCTTCAAGTTTCTTGGCGTTGGAATTGCATATTTTTTTGTGTGTTGTTTTTTGGGGGGTGATGTTTTGTTCATTTAAGACAAAATCTCATTCTAGAACAGGGTTGCATTGAACACAGAGATGCTCCTGTCTCTGCTTCCTAAGTGCTGGATTTAAAGGTATTTGCCATCAAACCTGGCTGTGATTACCTGTGGCAGCCACATAGCTGGGTTACAGTTTCCCACCCCTGATTTCTAAGATGGCATTTAGTTCTCTCTGACATGCAGGCACATGCCTGGTACTTGTCCAGCTGGCCCTGGACCTCATGACCTGTGCTGGCTCCCCAGACTGGACCATGTAAGTGAGATCTAGGGGTCACTGCTGGCTTTCCAGACTGGACCATGCAAGTGAGATCCAGGGTTCACGACCTCTTCTGAGGAGAGCTGCCTCCACAACATTGGAAACGTGTCGTTGGGCAGGCATACATCCTGGATGCAGACCCCTGTGGCTACTGCCTCATCATCAACAATGTGAACTTCTGTCCTTCCTCGGGGCTCGGCACACGCACTGGCTCCAGTGTGGACTGTGAGAAGCTTCAGTTCCGCTTCCGCTGGCTGCACTTCATGGTGGAAGTGCAGAATGACCTGACTGCCAAGGTACATTGACTGTCCCACGGGGACATTCCCCAGACAAGCCTCTCTGTCCACAGGTTGTGGGAGGTGACATGGGCAACTTAGCGTCAGACTTAGAGAAAGGGAGACTGAGGCCTGGTTTTCTCAGTGCCTTGTTCCTCAGTGCCCTTGACCTCCTGTGCCTCTGTTTCCCTGTTCAGAAGTGAGAGTAATTGTTCTCATAGAGTTATCCTAGGGATTAAATGTCTGGTGACCAAGCATAGCATCTTCTTCTCCAAATGGAGCCAGGATGTAGACTGTGTCCATTCCCTCTGGCTGGGCCCTGCAGGTCAGACCTCCAGGTGTCCCTGCCTTACCTGCTACCTTCCCTTGTAGAAAATGGTCGCGGCTTTGATGGAGATGGCAGGGCGGGACCACCGTGCCCTGGACTGCTTTGTGGTGGGCCCTGGACCTCATGACCTGTGCTGGCTCCCCAGACTGGACCATGTAAGTGAGATCTAGGGGTCACTGCTGGCTTTCCAGACTGGACCATGCAAGTGAGATCCAGGGTTCACGACCTCTTCTGAGGAGAGCTGCCTCCACAACATTGGAAACGTGTCGTTGGGCAGGCATACATCCTGGATGCAGACCCCTGTGGCTACTGCCTCATCATCAACAATGTGAACTTCTGTCCTTCCTCGGGGCTCGGCACACGCACTGGCTCCAGTGTGGACTGTGAGAAGCTTCAGTTCCGCTTCCGCTGGCTGCACTTCATGGTGGAAGTGCAGAATGACCTGACTGCCAAGGTACATTGACTGTCCCACGGGGACATTCCCCAGACAAGCCTCTCTGTCCACAGGTTGTGGGAGGTGACATGGGCAACTTAGCGTCAGACTTAGAGAAAGGGAGACTGAGGCCTGGTTTCTCAGTGCCTTGTTCCTCAGTGCCCTTGACCTCCTGTGCCTCTGTTTCCCTGTTCAGAAGTGAGAGTAATTGTTCTCATAGAGTTATCCTAGGGATTAAATGTCTGGTGACCAAGCATAGCATCTTCTTCTCCAAATGGAGCCAGGATGTAGACTGTGTCCATTACACTTCAGCCTTGGCCTCTGGCTGGGCCTGCAGGTCAGACCTCCAGGTGTCCCTGCCTTACCTGCTACCTTCCCTTGTAGAAAATGGTCGCGGCTTTGATGGAGATGGCAGGGCGGGACCACCGTGCCCTGGACTGCTTTGTGGTGGTCATCCTCTCTCATGGCTGCCAGGTAGGAAGCTTCTCCTCTTGATCCTTGAGAGGCCCTGCAGTAGCCCTGTCCCTTCTGTGTCCATGGAGGGAAAGAAGTGAGGGCCTGTCTCCCTCCCACTGTCTCCAGGGCCCTGCGGGCCTCCGAGGGGTTTCCTTCATGGGTGGGAGGTGGATGCCCAGTAATGGAAGGGACAATTCAGACCTTTCCACAAAGCTTTCTTCCCCAGTTTAGAAACCAACTGCTGAGATCTTGGTTCTTCACCTCCACTGTGCTCGATGTTGGGTGGCACACAGGACATTGGGGTCCATGTGGGGCTTGGCCACTCATACAATAGTTCATTGTGGCTAAGACCCTACCCCTGTCCTGATCTCAGAGACTTCATCTTTTAAGTTGAGGGGCTGGGCCAGTGAGACGGCCCAGCAGATAGGAGTTCTTGCTGCCAAACCTGGCCACCCAGATCCCACATGGAGAAAGGAGAAAGCTGACTCTTGCAAGTTGTTCTCTGACCACACATGTGTGGACACCCTTGTGCACACACACACGACAACAATGGCAACAAAATAAATGCTGCTCTGTGTTTAGCTGCTTCAGAGAGTCTGGAGGACTGGAGGTCCAGGTGAGGCCTGGAAGTCAGCACTTTCTACAGGTCTTGGGGTGATGCTGACACAGGAGTATGGGGACACTTGGTCTACACACTGCCAGTCTGCACTCTCAGGCTTCTTGGCTCCCATAGTTAGATGAGTTCAGGCCCCTTGGAATAGATGCTAAGCAGCCTGCTTTGTCCCTGTCACTCCGTGTCCCTGCCTAGGGCCTTCTGATCATTTTCCTAAGACAAACAAGGTCTTGGGACAGGCTTCTGTTTTTCTGTCCAGAGTCTTGTCTTTGTAACCAAGTGGCTGGTCCTCTAGTCCAGCCACCTGCAGTTCCCAGGTGCCGTCTATGGCACAGACGGATGCTCCGTGTCGGTCGAGAAGATTGTGAACATCTTCAGTGGGACTGGCTGTCCTAGCCTGGGAGGGAAGCCGAAGCTGTTCTTCATCCAGGCCTGTGGTGGCGGTAACTAGCACTCAGTCTCTTATGAGCACAGCTAAGGAGCCCTGCCTGCTCCCTTCCCCACCCAGCCCCTCACTGTGTCCAGGGGTTCTCCACACACAGTCACTGGTATACAGCAGGACTTCCTCCTAGTCACCTCAGCCTAGCATCGTCTATAGATTATGGTGTAGTGATGTCACAGGCCCATGTGGCCCTGATGACTTCAGTCCCAGAGTTTCAGTAAAAACAAAGTGTGGCCAGGGAGATAGCTCTGTTTGTAAAATTCCTGCCATGAAAACTTGATTGTGAGCCCCAGCACCCATGGAAAAGTCAGGCACAGCCTGCCTACCTATAATCGTATTGTGGACAGGTGGGGACAGGAGGGCTCTTGGGCTTGCTGGCCAGCTGGTCCAGCAAGAGACCTGTGTCTAAAAACCAGGTGGGAAGTAATTGAGGAAGACACTCAGTATTGTCCTCTAGTGCCTGTGCGCGCTCTCTCTCGCTCGCTCTCTCTCTCTCTCTCTCACACACACACACACACACACACACACACACACACATTCATACACACACATACTCTCACACACACTTTTAAGAACAAAATAAACGGATACTGGTTTTTTAGTGTGTTAGTCTAGATATTGACACCAATGAACTTTGGCCATTCTGTCTCTGGGAATCCCTTCTGTCCCAGGGAATCCCTTCCTATACTCCCCCACTCTACCCCAGGGCCCAGGTTTACCTCATGGCCTCTCTTTCTTCCATTGCTCTTTCATCAGAATTACGACAACACGAGGAAGAAGCTGTTCCCTTCTCTTGGGCCATGGCGATGCCCTCTTTTTACCCTTTTCCTGATCTAAGGTGTTCTACAATCATGCTCCAACTCTGACCACTGAAGCACACACACACACACACACACACACACACACACACACACACACACACACACACAGATCTAAACAGAGCTGAGTGGGATGCCAGCGACCGACAATCTGTCTTTGCTTCTCCCAGTCTCACCCATTTTCAGTAGCAAGTAAGATTTTAGTTCCACACATATGAATGGTCTAACTCTTCAGATTATTTTTTGTTTGTTTGAGACAGGGTTTCTTTGTGTATCCCTGGCTTTCCTGGAACTCACTCTGTAAACCAGGCTGACCTCAAACTTAGATATCCACCTGTTTCTGCCTCACGAGTGCTGGGATTAAAGGTGTGCACAACCACTGCCTGGCAGCTTTTTGTTTAAGTCTTATATATGTGAGTATTTTGCATGTATGTATGTGCACCACAAATGTGCAGAAGCCTATGTAGGCCAGAAGAGGGCGTGAGATCCCCTGGAACTGCAGTTATTGATGGCTGTGAGTTGCCATGTCAACCAGCCATCTATGAGAGCCATCTCTTCAGCTCCTAACTTTTCCTTTTTCCCTGTTTACAATTTATTGTCATTGCCTTTAGGAAGTTTTCTTAGACCCCCCTTCCTTGCAAGGTTAATCCCAGCATTTGGGAGGCAGAGGCAGGAGGGTCTTTATGAGTGCCAGGCCAGTCTTTGTAGTGAGTTCTAGGGCAGCCAGAGCTACATAGAAAATGAGGCTAGCCTGGGCTACATGAGATATTGTGTATCCTCCCTTCTTTGTCTGGCTTTGTCCCCACCAGGAAGTATTACCTGCTATTGAATGCTCTTGCCACCTGGTGGTGCCATGTCATTTAAGAAGGAAACATAATGACCTTTAGGAAGTTTTCTTAGACCCCCCTTCCTTGCAAGGTTAATCCCAGCACTTGGGAGGCAGAGGGTCTCTGTGAGTGCCAGGCCAGTCTTTGTAGTGAGTTCTAGGGCAGCCAGAGCTACATAGAAAATGAGGCTAGCCTGGGCTACATGAGATATTGTGTATCCTCCCTTCTTTGTCTAGCTTTGTCCCCACCAGGAAGTATTACTTGCTATTGAATGCTCTTGCCACCTGGTGGTGCCATGTCATCTAAGAAGGGAAACATAATGATTTCCCTGTCGTCTGCCTGGCTGGGTGTCCTGTTCACACACATGCAAATGAGGCCCAGGATTTTGGTGACTCTACTGTTACTTTTTTCAAATTTACCATTCTAATTTAAAAGGCAACTTGTCACCTACCCTTTGTTAGGAGGTAGCATAGATCCAGGCTGGAAAGAGCTCCCTCAGAGCCAGTAAGTTGTGTGGTGTTGTCAGTGTGACACAGTTGTCATAAGGTGTGACACTCTTGGCCAGAGCCTAGCTGTGGCTCAGTCAGGCTGAGCTGTCAATTTTGGGGTGATACCTCTTTTGGATTTTAGAGCTTAGGAGGAGATGGCAGAAAGTGGACACAGTTGGCCATAGCGGCTGAGGGCTTCCGTGGTGAGGGGACTTTTCTGCCTCCTGCTGTATGATATATGGGGTCAGTCCCTTTGTGTGTGCACTGTGTAACCTGCAGACTAAGGATGTCACATGAATATAGATGCTTCTGGTGTCCCCTCTCTGACTTGCTCTTTCTTCTTTCCTATGTCTGCTTCCCAACAGTGGTCATTTGGGTGATGACAGCCTTTCTGTCTCCATAGAGGGCCGAGGGCTGCACCTGTATTATTTCCTTAGGAAATTGTGAGTTTAGGTGAGCACACTGACACAGATTTGGTTACCTGTGATTTGGTTTTCTTTATTTGAGGCGTGTGTTTGCTCCAAGTTATAGTTAAAGGTTTTATTATGGTATATGTATAAATCTGTTTGGCACACACACATGTATACACACATAAAATTTAGTGTTTATGTTCACACTCGTGCATGTTTGTGGAGTAAGGAGGAAGCTTGGAGTTAGTTCTTTCCACAATTTGGGTCCACTTTGGCAGCAAGTGCCTATACCTACTGCGTCCTCTTGTTGTGACCTATTTGGTATAGTTTGGATTTCCTCTTTAGGATACCATACAATGATTAGGGTAGTTCAACAATTACAAATGATTGGTCCTATTAGCATAGACCTGTAATCTCAGATATTTAGGAGGCCAAAACAGGGTGATCAAAATTCATGGCCAGGGCCTGGAGAGATGTATCTGTGGTTAAAAGTGCATACTGTTGCACAGGACCCTCTTCAATGAATCTGTGGTTAAAAATGCATGTTGCTGCCTAGGTCCCAGTTCAATGAATCAGTAGTTAAGAGTGTATATGATTTCAGAGGATCCTGTTCAATGAATCAGTGGTCAAGAGTGCAATGTATTACAGAGGATGTTTTTGCCCCCTACAGAGCAGAAAGACCATGGCTTTGAGGTGGCCTGCACTTCCTCTCGAGGCAGGGACTTAGACAGTGACTCTGAGCCAGATGCTGTCCCATACCAGGAAGGCCCAAGGCCCTTTGACCAGCTGGATGCCGTGTCAAGTTTGCCCACCCCCAGCGACATCCTTGTATCCTATTCCACCTTCCCAGGTGAGCCCATCTGTGCACTCGCCCTTAGCCCTGGAGGCAGCTATGTCCTGAGGTCTTGTTTCTGCTGGACACAGCCTGTGGGGTCCTTGGCAAGTCACTTCACCTCTCCTAAGCCCCTTCTCAGGGTGAAGCAGGCAATGCTTCAGACTGGCATGTAGATTAAGAATAATAATTCCCGTTGGGGTTAACCTGCAGATTCGACAAGGGAGCGGCTGGCACTTCCCTCAGCACTGTGATGGGCACCTGGTGGCAGGGCAGGGATAAGGTGCATCCTTCAATCTGCTTGAGACCCCTGACTTCTCAGAACCTCGATTTCCATACTGAGAAGATGGGAGCCCCAGGCAGTCAGTGGTGTTGAGGGTGAAAAGTAGCAGGGAGCCACAGGGATGGGGCCGCCTTTGCCACCTGTCCACAAACCACAGTCTGGATCTGGCTGTACCCAGCTTCTTCTGCCAAGGAGAGTGCCACTCCACTGTGTGGCAGAGTTCATCCTGTCTTCCTGCAGGTTTTGTCTCCTGGAGAGACAAGAAGAGCGGCTCCTGGTACATAGAGACCTTGGATGGTGTCCTGGAGCAGTGGGCTCACTCTGAAGACCTGCAGTCCCTCCTTCTCAGGGTGAGTACTTCTTTCTGAGGGCTGGAGGGGCCTGGTGAGCAGGGCAGCAGGCTCTAGTCTGCTGTAAATGCTGATGGGCCCTGGCTGAGAGTCAGGGAGCACGTTGTCTCTCAAATGAGGAATGTCACCATGGCGATGACGTTTGTCCTGTTTGCAAAGTGCCATCTTTTCCCGACTCTTTAGAGACAGATGAGCAGACAGGCATCTGGTTCCCAGAAGACAAAGTGGTCTTAAGTGCCAGGTGGGGTGGCTCAGTGGCAAGAGCATGGTACCCTGAAGCCTGGCCATATGCTTCTCGCTTAGCTCTGTGGCACATCCCCACGTGCTCTCTTTTTAGATTGTTCCAGGTAGCCCAGGCTGGCCTAGAACTTGCCATGCAAAGAGCAATGAACTTGAACTTTTGGTCCTCCTGCCTCTACTTCCTGAGTGCTGGGATTACAGGTGTTAACCACCACACCCAATTTATGCAGTGCTGGGGGTGAAACCCAGGGTGTCACGTATGCTAGATAAGTAATCTCCCAACTGAGCTACATCCCCAGCCCCATGCTATGACTCTTTATCTTCAAGCATTGTGATTCTGTCTAGATTGTTCCCTTCCTGGAGGCCCCAATGAGAATGAACAGGGAAGGGGCGTGGCAGTGCCTTGCTTCATAGCAGCCAGCCACCTCAGGGCACTTGGTTGTACCCATAAGGTGTATACCAGGCTTTTTCTTTTGGCCATCAACCAGCTGTCAAATCATGGAGACTTCTTTTTTTTTTTTTAAAGAAATTTTTTAAATTAAAAAATATTTTTTTGAAACTTTATTTAATATGCATTGGTGTAAGGATACCAGGTCCCCTAGAACTGGAGTTACAGACAGGTGTGAGCTGCCATGTGGGAGCTTGGAATAGAACCCGGGTCCTCTGGAAGAGCAGCCATTGCTCTTAACCACTGAGCCATCTCTCCAGCCCCCGAGACTTCTTATTAGTTATGAATGCTTGGCTACACTTAGGCTGGTTTTTGTCTAGATCTTTTCCCTTAAATTGACCTGCTTCTCTTTATTTACTTCTTGTCTTTGGGGTTGTCCTTTCCTTTCCTTCTGTATACTTTCACTGCCCTCCTGTGTGGCTGGCAGATGCCTGGCTTCTTGCCTCCAGTGAGACCTCATCTTTCTCCCTCTTTCCTCCAGTTTTTGCTCCTCCCCCTATTTATTCTCTGCCCACCAGGCCTGCCTATCCCTCTCCTTCCTAGCTATTGGCTGTTCAGCTTTTTATTAGACCAATCAGGTGCTGTAGGCAGGCAAGGTGAAACAAATGTGAAACTCATCTTTCATGAGTAAACACACATCCTTACATCATTAACCAGTGCAACATAAACAAAAGTAACACCGATGCACAGTTCAGGTAAACAAAGGCAGCACATCTCTGCCCCCTGAAAAGATTGCTCCACAACAATTAGGGCCCGGTGGGTTTCCACTGCTCTGCCCAGTGCAACCCCTGGGCTCTAGGAGTCACTTCCGGTCCTGCGTGGGGCCCTACAGGACAGAGGACAGCTGAGCAGCTCATGTTGTCTCTGGGTCTCCTCTTCCCCACTTCCTTACCCCTAGCGTTTCTGTCTGATTGGAATTGTGAATTTTTATATTAGAGAAGTTGGATTTTCCATTCTTTCCCAGTAGCTGAGGTGTTTGTTCTATAACCCACCCCAGGAGACTGTAGGTAGGGTCACCTTCAGATGGCCCCTTCAGTGGCCCGCCCCCTCAGTTAAGGCCTCAGACAAGGACACTGAACTCACAGATTGCCCCTGTGATTCTGTTTTGCAGGTCGCCCATGCAGTTTCTGAGAAAGGGATTTATAAACAGATTCCTGGCTGTTTTAACTTCCTCCGGAAAAAGCTGTTTTTTAAAACTTAATGAGACTGGGGCTGCTCCTTGCCTGAATGTTCCCCTAAACCTTCATGGCCTGGAGGTGACTGAGACTGGACTGTCCTGCAAAGCCAGGGTTTTGGAACTGTGGCAGGCCGCTCTCTTCCCTTCTTTGGCAGACAAGCTCCTAACAGCTCCCAGGTTGGTGAGAGAGGCAGAGCATTGGAGGGAGAGGGACAGAGTGCTGTCATTGTCACTGTGTCTCTTCAGCTGAGGTTAGGGACTGTGGCCTGTGACCCCCAGGTCCTCTCTAGAGCAGGACTTCTCTGAGTCTGCCCTACTGACATGTGGGGTTGTATAGTCCTGTCATGGGACTGTCTTGTGTATCAAAGGGTGTTGCCACGAGCACCCTTCCTGAGTTTTACCACCCAGAAATGTCTTCAGACATTGTCACATTTGCCCTAGGAGACATAACACTGGAGGAGCACTGTCCACAGGGGTCTGTGGATCATATATCCCAGCATTCTTTCCCAGACCCGCATCCAGCTGACCCAGTGTGGACACCTGGCTCTGTGAGTCTGGTCCAAGTTTCTTCCCTTAGCACAGAATTTGTTCTTAAAAAAGTGAATCTTAGGCCAAGGGACTTTGTTTTGCCTGTGTCATCCCCACTCCTGTTCCCTGTTCTTCCCTACAAAGGAGACTTTTTTGTTTTTTCTGAGCATTTCTCCAAGTCTTCTAAGATCCCTGCCTGAGCCCAGGTGGTAACTTATGGGGTGTGGGGGAGCCAGGAGTCCCCATGGATCCCATCTCCTGTCTGAAGGATCACCGTCAGCCTACTGGAGACACCTGGACAGAACTCAGCTATCCTGAGTCCCCACCTCTGTCTCCCAGTGTCTTCCTTGCTAAGTGAGCCTGCCCCCTGGTGGCAGTGACCGCGCAATGGTGCAGTGCTGGATGTCCCTAGAAAAGGTGCTGTCCCTGGATCTTTACAGCTGTCCTGACTTTTACTTAGTTGTTTTTTCTTTTTTTCTGATTTCAGTGGTCTTTGCCCTGAGAACATCCACTTTTGCTCAGATGGTAGGGGTACAAGCCTAGTTTGTTTG